GGGGTTTCTCCGATCGTACGACGCGAAGGTTTTAGAGTTCTCTAGTAGTGATATCGGTTCAACATAAACTGCACCTAAAAAACCTACACGCAAAAGGTATCACGAGCAAAACGTGGTGATACAGGTCGTTCGATTCAGTGGATTAATACTGATGGCTCATGAATACATGTATCTTCAGTACAATGCCTTGGGAGGTAATGTTCCTGGCTACACATGGCTCCAAATCCTAATCCCGCTTCACACTGGCTATTTCCTGCCGACTAGCATATACATATATATGTATATATGTAGATAGGAGTACTTGATGTTCGTGCCAAGTAAAGCATACGGTTCGGTCCTGCCTCGTTCATCCTGCCCAGCCTGCGTCCTGGCTCTTCGTCATTATCACTGATGGCCCACTCTTCTGCGTGTTCAACAGTCACATCTGAGTGTTCGAAAAGCGGCTAAGGCATCAAATCTTAGATACATCACTTAATACTGCCTTTTGATGCTACCTGGATATATCCACGCGGCCACATGCGTTATCAGTATCTTCGATTCCATCGAATGGCTTAGTACAAAGCCTATACTTCCCAATGCCGCAAGCGAACAATGTTATACTTAAGTGATCATGACTTATGGTTGGCCGGCATAGCGACTACTGGTGTCTAGCAAGTTCCATGACGTACAGTGATTATATGATCGAAATCGTCGTGGTAACAGTCATCGTGCTTGTCTATGATATGCTGTCTATGTGCGATTGAGATGACCAAGCCGAAATGGAATGAACAGATGTTACAATAGCTAAGCAGTGGATTGAATGTTGTGTGTTCGCGTGTTCGCGTAACAGAGCGAAAGATAGGCGAAATAGTCATTTGGTTGTTGTTCAGTTACATGGTGACATAGCTACCTCCAACTCTGCCCAATCATCACCCTCAACAGCAATCACGACAGCAAGCTGCCACCGCTGCCCCATCAAAGCAACATAAACCAGACATAGAGCCACCACACTACCTTCAAAGCCCAAATTCGTTTTCCTAGATTATATCCGGAAATCAGTGAGATATTCAGTGATTAGTCGAACGGATGAGAGAACGCACGACTAACCTGTAGGTGTCTGCTATGAATGGATCGGAAACTGGGCGTCGAACTGTCTGATTGTGGAAAACCGGTTACCTGCCAGATCGTTAGGGAACTCTCCTGAATGACACAAGAAAAGGGATTTATCTCATACCAAACTAATTCCTAAAAGTGAGAGCAGACATGGATGCATCAGAAACGAGGAAGTCTGCATACTGTCAGTGGCCATGACAACCAGAAAAGTGTGGAGGATTCGAGGTAAGACTGTGCAATGCTGGCGACAAGGGAAGGCTGTAGGCGATGTGCAATGCCAGTGGTTGAAGTCCCAGAGAGGCCACGAGAGTGCTGGAGATAGTGTAGTACCAGCAACCCCAAGAGACAGAGTCATCACAAGGATGAAAAGGTTCCAAAGATTGCATAATATCAGTGTTAGTCCACTGTTACACCCCCCCGAGTGCAAGCACTGTCAGTGAAAAGAGCCGAAGCCCCCAGACTGTGAGGCCCCAGATTCGCATGTCCACTTCGAAGCCAATCCAAAGTGCACCAACTGGGATGAGCGCAACTACTGAAGCTTGGCACCTTACAAAGAGATCCTGAGAAGACCCAGTGAAGGCATCGGCCACACGGCCGGCAACGTAGCGCAACCCCGATGTGATAATTGCTCGAGAGCAGAGTCTAAAAATTGGTGGGATGAGCCAGACGAGCCAAGGAATAAATGGGAAAGCCATTGTAACCAAGAATCGCTTGTGTGATAGCAATGATGTCTACGAAGAAGAAAGGAGAGAAGAGGAGCAGAAAGGAGATCGGACGAGAAAATGGGAATATCTGCTTGCATGGCTCTTCGATCGACAAGGCAGGACCAGTATGTCCATTGCTTCGCGAAGGAGAAGGAGAGGATCTCATAGAAAGAAGGAACAAGCATCTGTACGTATGATGCAGATGGTGGAGCGGAAGGGGGCCATGACCATATGCCGTCGTGTGTAACAAGAATCGAACTTAAACCGAGAGGACGGTTTTAACAGAAAGAGGAGCTTGAGGCTCTTCACCAGATATATTGGCGTTTGAAATGATTACATTAACCGTGGGTTCATCTTGACGGACTAAAGCTGACACATGAAATATACGGTAGACCTCAAGCCATGCACATGATTCTTATTACCACTTGGGTATCACTGGATTCGGATCCAAATGACTACCATCTCCCTGATCTATATCTTGTCAATACGTCGCACAACTTTCCGCGCTCAGGTACGTCAGAATAAGATTGCACATTGAGAAAGTGCAAGCTCTTAGCTACAAAACCCTACGGTACGTACGCACACGGTGTAGATTGCTCGATTATCTCCCTAAACGATGCATGATGCTCTCATCAGAGACATTGCATGTCACGAACTGAACCTCTAGTTGCTGTGTAAATTGCCTATTGGATTCTTATTGAATCTGCTTGCATGCCCAGGATGCTTGTGGATTGATTGAGTATGGTACTAATCAAGATTGGCATTTCAGACTGCGTGGCCACATGAGAGGAGGTATGAAGGTCCAGAAGTACCTACTTCCACGTCAACGCTCTTCCCATGCAATGACTATCACCTTCCAATTGAATTATCATTATCCGAGGAAAAGCAACGGCGGGTCGGTATCAGCACACCGCCCACTGTTACAGGTGTTGTAAGACCAGATGACGGCGCGGCGAATACTGCTCCAGAGGGAATTGTTTCATTTCATGGATTTTGGTCTTCAAATCCGTTACTCAAAGCAGCCTTCGGCCAAATTGATATTGGAATGGCTGTCCAAGTGTGCAGTGACATTTCCATTTCTTCTAAGTTGTAGAGTTTGCACAGTACGGGTTAGGCAGTAGACTGGATAAATCTCAATCTGCCTCTTCGAGGTCGAGATCGATGGATAACAGTACGGCTACTAAAGAACATCATTCTCTGCCAGTGATTGAATGACAAATTGAATTCGTTTGTTATCAAAGTGCGATTGTTGTGTCTTCGAAGGGTTGTACCGAGATACTAGCAGGACGGTATTGCTGATGAACTCTTGCATCACAAGATCAAAGAAAGACTATCTTGTACGGCGGTGGTGATCTCGCCAACCCACATCGCAGCATTTATCCTCTGCGATTCCCATATCATATAACAACAAGAACTTTGTAATTCAGATTACACGCAGGCGGGTGCATAGAAGTTGATGTTAAACACTGAGGATGGTTTACTTGATCCCATACATTGCAGTCGAGAGACAATACCTCCAATGGGGTTACCCAATTGAATGAGACTCTCTACGCTACTTTCTTCAGCGTCCTAAACAGCCTAAGAAGTTAAGTTTCTAACACGATCTTCTGAACGATAAAGCTCTTGCATTTTCATATTGCACTTAGCGAGCACGTGACTCATTTCGGTCGCCATCAATCATCTTTGTGTGTTACACTGAATAAGCGTGGCAGCACTTCAGTGGCACGACAACAAGGAGACACAAACCAGAGCCACATCACTGTCAGTCAAGAGAGCGCATTGAAAATGAGCGAGTCGGGCCTGTGACCATGTTCTTGCGCCTTTTCACAGCAGATGGGTACGATATGAGCACTCAAGAGGTAAATGCCATCCCTCGTCTACACCGCTTCTCGCGAATCACAAGTCACGCATCTTATGAGTATGTTTTGAATCACCGTCACCCCATATCCATGACTCGGCAGACAAGAATGTCTTCAACTGTGCAGCCGTCCCCACCCGACGGTCCCGTTCCTCATTTCTCCCAGCATCAGCAACTAGGAGTCCGTTCTCTCTCAACTCAGAACCTAGCACTGCACCTGCGACAATGCCGCCACGCGTTGACGATCCTGCCGCTGCCCTCGAGCAGATAGCTACAAACAGTGACTTCACCGGCCTCACTCGCCCTCAGAGAGCACAGGCTCGAGAAGAAACAGGCGGCGAGAACGTATCCGAGTGCTGGGGCAATGTTCTTATCGGCGATGGTAACCAGTTCAACGGAGTCGTCTTCGAGGGCAGCGCGGCCACATTCAATGCAGCTATTGACAATGGAACCCTTGGAGGGCCAAGCCGGTCTATGAACAACGTTTCTGCTGGAGGCACCGGAGATCAACAGTACGATTGCGCCTTACCATATCCACATCCGACTGTAATTAGCTGACGAGGTGTTTCTCACCTCATCTAGCAATGGTCTCTACGCACGAATCTCGGGACCATCCGAAAGACTGAAACTGCCGCAGCATGGTAATCAGCACTCCTGCTTCAATGTCGCTTTTGGAAGGGGTAATCAATACAATGGTATGAGAATTGTGGAGGTTGGGTATGAGGAGAAGAAGAACGAAGAGGGGGAAGTGAGCAGGAGGATGGGGAGCATGACGCTGAAAGATTAGATCTTTATTAGCAAAGATTGCCTCACGGAATCATCCAGTCTACCTATGCAAGCTCATCCGTGTATGTCTCGTCTGGTTCCCCATCGCGGCCTTCATAGTCTCCCGGAAACGACTGACGATGAAGATGTTTACTAGTACAGGTGATGCTACACGGGTGGCAAGCTTCCTATTATGGTTCCCTTTTCATAGATCAAGCTCACTGGAAGCTCTCCGTGGTGACCCCTCCATACCTCGGCGGGTGAGGGCAGGAGCAAGGCACATACATATCTTCGCTTTTGCGGTTGCCTCTCACTGCCATGACGTCCAACGCCAGTCTAACTGCTTTGCTTGAAAGAATAGCGAAGAAGAAGCACTTTGTATTCTGTCAGAGACCTAAGTAATGCGAGCAAGTAGGGAAAGGTACCAGTGGTGCGGACCTGCGCAAAACCTGAGGTGCAGCCCAAGGCCTCAGGCAGCTAGCTACCTACAGCAACGAGCTGCCACCTGCTCTGCCGGTCAAGCTCTTTGTCTGGAGGTAGATAGCTCTAATTATCAGCTCCCCTCTCAACAAACAGAACAAGCCCTAGTGGTCAAGGGGTATGACGCCGGACTAGCCATCTGGAGGTCGGGAGTTCGATCCTCCCCGGGGCACCCGCCCATGATCATGTGTACTTGTAGCCTGTCGTCCTCCCGTGTGACCGAATTGAGGTGAACACGTCTAGAGCCCAGACGACTTAGCGTTATCTGCGTATACCTGTACAGGAGCAACTCTAGAACACAATGGGGTGTGACGACAGTGACATTGCGAGACCACACATAGGAGGCCTTCTTTTTTTTTTTTTTTTTTGATTTCTTTTACCATTTTCTCACTCTTGTCCGAGCTCTCCCACACGCTGCTGCACATTCCCCCTTGCCGTTCAAATTAAATACCTGCTCGGATGTCAGTGATAGCTTATGGCTTTCGATTCGTATAATGTGAAAGCAACGCCAATGTGAAGGAAGGGCAGCCTCGCGGTCTGCAAGGTTGCAATGGACAGCGCTAGTCCTAACTATTTGACTCTCAGAGATAACTTATAAGGTGGATGAGTGAGTGATAGTTCAAGTGAATTTCGTATAATATAAACAATGTTCTCGAGAGCGAGGGGTAGCAAAAGCGAGCATACATGTGCTACCTAGTACGATAAACTCTATGTTTCAGAGCACAACCCGACCTCGGTGCTTGCTTTCTCTCACTACGGTGAATGACCCCTTAGCACGGGGTGTACGATATTGAGTCAAGATACTAGAGTACCGTCTCCAGCGGTAGACACGAAGCAAGGTTTCCATGTGGATTTTGAAGGGGTAAGCGATATCATGGTCGACAACAGTGAAGGCTGGGTACGAGCCAAAAAGGAGAAGACACAGAGCAGGGAGATGAGACGAAAGAGATATGAAGACCGATGATTTATAAGTCGATGGTGAAACAAGAGACTACAGTATTGACACTGAAACCTTCATCCCATAAGCATTCATGCCAACGTGACACATATTCTACTCGCCACCTACTAGACCTTGGATCAAAGTCTAGTTGTCAGTGTTATTCAGGGTTGGGTAGTCTAATACAATCACACTGCTCGTATGATATATCAATAGCAAAGTGCTGCGGGCTGAATACGGTGACAGAATACCGTTCACGTTGTTGGTAATCTTTGAGTGGGGGAGCGCCACACGGACAAGGGAGGCTGATACGGGGACATTTCACAGCTGATTGGTAATAACTGGTATCATTTGTTTGCGGAACTACATCACGACGCAAGGGCGGCAAGGCGTCTGGCCCCCACGGTGATAGGTTGCGCAGGACGTGCAGAAATAGACCTTCATGTTTTCACCTCAATCAATTGGCAATTCAGCGGACGAATTTCTTCTTCTTTTCTCTAGTGTTCTCTAGTTATTCGGTACTCGTAGCTTCGTTGCTCGTTCATTAAACCCTGCCGATGCGCCTTCCGAAATCATTGTGCCCTCGGGCTGAATCTCAAAATTGCGCCATCGCTCTCATGCTATGCAGATCTTTGCTATCGCCCGACTCTTCTCTTAGTCCCGGATGTTCTCGTGGTTCGTGATGCAGTCCTCAACTGCCATTCCGGGATGCTTTGCCTCCATGTGTCTCATGATCCTGCAGGTGACTACAGTCAGTAGACTGCATGTATAGCGTGTTCGAGCGCGTCTGGAGCAGAAAGGAAGTATGAGGGGGTAACATACTCGGGGCGGCGGGCTGTCTTGAAGAAGTCGACGAAGCATTTCTTGCACTTGTGGTCGGTGGCGGCAGCGTTCTGACGAGATTCATATGTCAGCGTCGAAGCACATCAGACGAGTTGACTATTGGACGGAAAGTGCTTACGCTCTTGAGCTGGGACTTGGCCTCTTTCGGAGCGTCCTTGTTTTTGCGCTCACGCTTCTGCTGAGCTCTGTTTCCCTGTAAGTCGCAACTCGCCTTAGTATGCTATACCACAAGCTCTCGGTATCAATTCAAGACCTACGTTACCCATCTTGATCGGATCTGTGTGGAAGTGGTGCGGCGATATGAGGATCAGACGAAGGAGGGGCGGTGGAAGGAGGCGTTGGCGGCGACGCAGGCAGGACGCAGAGAGGATGCAGAAAAGACAGGTTTCCGGTAGTCTCGTCGGTGTCTTCGGCAGGCCGTAGAAAATAATTTGCCCAAAGCAGATGTCAGCTCGCCCCGTCAGACTCCGATTTGGATTGGGTGTTTAATTGGTCGAATTGGGTCTTAGCCTGCAGGTTCGCTAGGGTAAGAGCACTCCTCCAGGACAGCCATGGCTCGTCGTTGCTCCACAGGCACCAAAGCCAGAGCAGCCGGCGAGCCACCATCAAGATTCAAAGTCGACAGGTCTACATCGACCATTTCTTTCGCCCAGCTTTCACTTCCTCTTTGTACTTGCGTACACGTTCTTTACCTTCCTGCATCTGGTCTACGATGTGCCCAAGACCGTACTTAGCCATGTCTTGGCAGATAAAACATCCTGCTGTAGGACTGTTGTTTTCCAGATCTCGCTGACTCTCAAAGGCGTCATAATACGCATCTCCGTCGTCGTCTTCGTACCATATATCGTACTCACTATCCATCTCAGCTCGATAGCCCGCTCTCCTCAAGGCGTTGTAAAGAAGTCGGACAGCCGGAAACGTGGACAGCTGATCTCGGCCCTCTGGTGTCGAAATGGTCTCGTAGAATAGCGAATGTTCATCTCGCGCATACAAGATTGCTTCCGGCTTAGTCCCTGTGAAATCTTCCTCATACAAGTCTTGGCGATCGAATATCCTGTCCCATGGCTCCCAGTCACCTCGGCCCGTGCCTTTGACTGGCTCTGGCTTGTCTGAGTAGAGATACTTCATATCCTCTCCAATGATCCGACGAACAAGACCGTCAGGCAACCAAGAAAAGGCGAGCCTGGGCTGTCTGTCTTTTTCGAAGGCTTCGTAATCGGGCCTCAGCACATTGTATTTCACTTGTATCACCTTTCCAGATTCCTCTCTTCTGTACGCGGTCCCAATTTCATCGTGGAAGCTCCAAGCCCTCGCAAACTCGGGAGACTTGATTTGACTGAGATGGAAATACCAAGGTCTTCGAGCCAGGATACCGTCAAACACGGAGTCGTCCATATCCTCAGCACACGTGGCTGGTTGGAAAGGGTCTGCGCCATGCAGCAACAAGTGAGTGAGTAACAGTTCAAGGTCGACGAAATTGAACATCAGGCTCCAAGTGATGATCTGCCAGAGCATATACCAAGGTGTAGTTGAGTACTTATCGGAGCAGTTGACGTCTGCTCCGTAGAACAACAGACAATGAATCATGTCATGATGACAAGAGGCCTGGAGACATCTGGGGAGCGCAGGACCATCCCGAGATGCGGCTCCTCCGTCCACATGTGCGCCGTATTCAATCAAAGCAGCTGCATAGGCTACACGGTCATCCTCGTCTACCACCCAATGAAGAGGAAGAGAGTCGTCATCATAGGGGCTTGCAGTATTGATAGCGTTGGGGTCATATTTCAACACCTCGAGCGCAAACAAAAACGTATCCCAATCACGGCAGTAAAGGGCGGCTTGCAGAAGTCTGTTGTCGCCTTCCTTTTTCCAGTCTATAAATCCCACTGACTGAAGAAAGCCAATTTGGCGAAAGTACTGCGAATCGAAGAAGGTCATCTCCGCGGCAAAATTTATGTCGAAAGAGTCAATCTTAGCTCCACGGCGCACAAGTAGGTCAAGGGCCTCAAGATCGAATCTGCAAAAAGCGTTGAAGACCGCCGGTCTGCAAATTCAAGTTAGAAGAACGTACTTGAGGCGTTTCACGGCTCTGCACAATACGTACGTGCACCAGTGACCATAGAAGGTATTCGGATCATATCCACAGTCAAGCAGGTAATCTATGAGCTGATGTCCTTCAAAGTCGTCAACGAGTGTGTGGTCATACGGTTGCCCGTCTTTGATTTCTCGGAAAACGTGCTGCGTCTGGTTAACCTCGAGAATTCGTTATGCGGGCCAAGACAAACCTCAAGTAGACCACAGTGAAATTCTGCATCGACATCATAGATACTCGCCTGCCCCGAGTCGATCAAGTAGCGAACAGACTCGAGATCCCACTCAAAACAAGCCCGGAAAATAGGTGCGTGTGTCGGCCTCACATTCAACGTGGAGATAGAACAACCTAACCAAGGCATGGACATCCAGTGCCGTGCGTTTTGCCCAATAGTAAATTCGAAGTGAACAATATGTTGCTGCATAAGACGAAGTCCGGCTCTTAATATGAGCCGAACCTTTCGACGATTATGCGTCGAGGTTGCTGTAATAGAAGCCCCTGTTAGAGGTTTGACGTTCTCGGGTGCGTAGAAGTAACCGAACGACCCGAGTGTCCACGACGCTTGCTTCCTAACTCTTCCCATCTCGTATTTAAGCAGTTGGTATGATACATTGGGGCTCGATCTAGCCCTGGCGAAAGGTTTACTGGAATCATAGTTAGATAAAAGATGTGAAGGTATAAACCATTCGTCTGTGCTACACGCTGCCGGAGTAGACCCAAGTTGAACCGGCGTCTTGGTATTAGGCACGCCTCTGTTCACCTGTTTCGGCAGTAGATTAACATCCTACATGATCAGTGGAATATCCTCCAGTATGCATAGCATAACTCACCTCATCTCGCTTTTGTGTTACACCCAGGTGTTGTTTAAAGACATTCTCAGCTTCTTCGACTCCTTCTTCAACGTCTGTAACACTAGGCGTTGCGTCAAATGCAATCTATCTCAAGTCATTAGACTCCATCATAAACCAAGTAATTTGGCTAAAGAACGTGGCTATCAGACTGACCTGCTTCTTGACCTCGGAAATTTGTTCGTTGACACATTGTTTAACATCTTCAAATCCTCTCATCAACTGGGGGAAAAACACATCCTGACTAGATTTAAGTGCCGCTAGAGATATGTGGTTCAGTGAAGCAATACGCCTACAGATTCTGATCAGTTGATAGTTACGGAATGCGGTTCTCTATGTCGTCCTACATTGTGACCATGCTTAGCGCAACATCCAAAGAGCTTTCCGCATCCCTCAAGTCTTCCAAAATCGCTTTCGTTTTCCTTTTGTCAACAGCCACCCAGCGCAGTCTG